TCTTTTTCCATTTTGATCTCCGCTGTCAGTGTGCTATAAAAGCTCGAAAAGACAGTATTCGGAAGCGAAAGACAAAGCGAATTGAAATGGAGCAATTACGTTTAGATAGGGCAAAGTTATTAATTGTTAAAGATGAAACGACCGAACTTTCGGGACAATCTAATATAATAGATAGCATTGCTATGTGCATGTAAAACGCTTTGCCTCTAGTATATTTGGTGATAGGTTCAGTAAAATGATTTACTCAGACGACAGGAAAAGAGATTACTCGTCCCATTAGGGTCATCGTTTTTCAAAGTTGCTGATATTTGACCTATATCGTTACCATGAATGACCATGAAAACTCATTTATTAGGCTGTACCAAGTTCTGCAACTATTTTTAAAACTTCTCTTACTTTGCATAAGACGCACTCAAAGTTTACCATCATGTGAGCTGTGACGTAAGCTACAAAAGGAGCCACAGTTCTGCAAAATTCTGACGTCGTGGCGGGGTTTCGGTAGGTAGATGGTATGAGAGGAAAAATTACAGATCATTACAAAGTTGGCTGAAACTTAGATGGGTTTATCTGACATGCTGATCACGAAAACGATATTGGTTTTGCATGGTAGGAGCTCTTTGCAAGGTTACGGTAGGTTGTGGTATGGGATCTCACGCTACAAGAAAGGAGGCGTTAATTTGATGAGTAATTATGATATTCAATGATGCAAAAATAGTGGCAAAACTGCTTTTTTAGAACTTAAAAAAACAACTTTTTTCCACTTCTATCGAGACAGAGTAACATACCATTGAAAAGCTCTTTTCTTGCTCTACCTAACGATGTTGAAGCGCGCTTCCAATTTATCCTACAAGTTGCAAAGCTTCGAACAAAGGCATTCAAAATCAAAATTTCACTGCACTTACTTTGGCCAGATTCAAGCGCGAATGAGCGGCGCATCTTCGAAATCTTCTATGAGATATCTGTCTCCCAACGGGTAGCCGTTGCGGTCATTCTGTGAGCTATAAATTTCTTTGAGAAGGCCGTCACCGAAGCTTCTCTCATTTCTGTAAGCGCAAAGTAGGCAATTCCGTTGACAGTTTCTGCAAAAACGGCCAATTGTTTAGTAAGCCAAAAATCGATTTTCTAAAATTCGTGATTTCGAGGCCTACTTAAAGAATGTTGAAAAAAACTGACAATATTGGATTTTGATTTTTTCGCAAATCTTTTTTATCCAAACTCTTTCCATCGTTGTTGGTGTTACGCTTCCACAAGGTAGGTTACCTATCATTCACAGTAAGAGACTTGGGGAAGTTATGAATTGTTAAATATTAGGTTGGCACGAAAGTTCTTGCGTAATTCAAACAAAATTCAATAACTTTTCAAAGACTAAACCAAAATTCACAATCTTGTATGCTAAAAATATTAGAAGCCTTACGCTTCATGACGAACGTTTAAGCATAAGATTCTTGAGCTGGACATCAAGAACGAAGCTCTCGAATATGGGGCTTCAAATTTTGCGATTTTGAGTTTGGTGGCAGAAAATCGCAGAGTGCCGCTAGCTAGCCGAAAAAACTCTGTAGAGTTTACTTACACAGCAAAAGTCCATACGTTATTTTAATAGGCTTTGATCTCGCATAGAAACGCGAAAACAAAAAAGTCGTGAAATATGTCATTTTGCGGAAAAAAGCCCTCATGTCTGCAGTTTTCCGGCAAAACACTTTTTTACAATCGGAAAAACGTCGCAAGGCTCTAAATAGGCACTAAGTCTAATTTCTGGTTGCAAATTGTGTTTCTGTGGAAAAATTAGAGCGATAAGGGGATTTGTCCTGTGAAATGAGAAATTTCACAAATTTTTTTTCGCATTTCCATGCGAGATCAAAGCCTGCTAAAATAACGTATGGACTTTTGCTGTGTAAGTAAATTCTACAGATTTTTTTCGGCTAGCTAGCGGCGCTCTGCGATTTTCTGCCACCAAACTCAAAATCGCAAAATTTGAAGCCCCATATTCGAGAGCTTCGTTCTTGATGTCCAGCTCACCTAATCTTATGCTTGAACGTTCCTCATGAAGCTTGAGGCTTCTAATATTTTTAGCATACAAGATTGTGAATTTAGGTTTAGTCTTTGAAAAGTTATTGAATTTTGTTTGAATTACGCAAGAACTTTCGTGCCAACCTAATATAAGGTTCCAGAAAAGAACATTTTTGTTTACTTGTCCATATTTCTCTGCCCGTGTGCGATGTCAGTATAGATAAATTGTGCGCTGTATTGCGAAAGGTTTGCTGCTTTTGATTCTTTTCGCTTCCAGAAATGTAGATTATCCAGAGAGTTATAGCACATCAAAGATTGGCAAAACAGTCATCATTTTGCATCTAACTACCTAATATTATGTTCCCTTAAACTTGTGCTCAAATGCGGTCTGTGCTTTTAGAGTCCCTTCTCCTCGATTGCAAATGCAGAGTTCTGGTGCGGCAGGCTAGTCATATGAGAGCTTCGCATTACATACAATGGCAAGTGTTTGTTATTTAAAAGCATGTGAATCACCAAGCATCTTTTGCTTTCAAGGCAATTTTCTCGCAAGTCAAGGGACTTATGATCTTATAGCTGAGTAACAGTGAATGCGTCAACGTTCTGCATTACATTGCTTTGGAAAAGCATGAGACAATACTTATGATGTTCATATAAAAGCACTAATAAGCTTTTCTTTCTAGGGCGGCTACATTTTCAGCCGATCCTTCATTAACACCTCATCATTAAGCCTAACAACCTCTACTTTTGCGTTGTGGCCTTTGCAAAAACTAAAGCATTGCGGACGCCTTCCCTAACATAGTACTTTTCAACTGAAAATTTTTTACATCACTTTCACTTTCTACTTTGAGTCCATTTTACTTGTGCCTTCTTCTATTCTAACAATCACTACTTGCACAAGGTACGTAGCATGTTGGAATACAAGAAATCAAAAAATTCGAATTAGAAAAAATTCAGCGCATTAATAATAAATTTATGAATATCTACAACTCACATCTCGAAATTCTTGCTCTACGAATACGAACAAAGTTACGAAAATTGTCTGAAACAAAAAAGTGCTATGGGATTAGCTCTACATGTCTACTTTTATCCCTTTTCGTAGTTAAAACAAAGTATGCGGCCGATAAGTCTACAGGGGAATGTCAAGAAAAGACTGTGTAAAAAAAATGTGAACAGCATACATGACCTGGTGTTCCATTGGCTGACTGACCAAGATTTTCCTTTCAAATTTTGTTTCATTTCTGTACCTTTATAGCGAAGAATGCAATCACCAGTAAATCCTGTGGGCATTGACCATAGAAACTTGACAACTTCCTCAAAAAGTGAATGTACCTTTAGAGGCAGTGCTCAACAAATCTGGTCGCATTGGTTTTTTTTGCTTGGAAACTGATGAGAGGGTCCTAGCTAAGGCGCAGCGCAAATAGTTCAACCAGGGCTAAGAAACCTATCGATCACTCCATGCCTGCGTCTGGCCTAACTTGCGAGTGAAATGAGATGGGTCCCACGAACGTAATTTTAGAGTGAGAGAGATCATTTTCGGGTTATGGCCACGGCACGGGCACGAAGGGTTTGGGAACGGCTTTTCAGCCGCGGAATTATTTGTCGCTTGGGTCCCGCTTGGACAGCGCCAGTAGGATCATCTCACTAGTTTACAAGCGAAAAACTCATGAGCCCAGATGTGTCTGGACACTGCCTCTAGGAAAGCTTGAAAATCTCGCAAAGAGTTTGTAATGAAATCAGCATGCGCGAATCCTTTCTAATACACAGCTCAATTTTTGAAGTTTTATTCCAATCGACCTTATTCACCATGCGCTGTATGCTGAAAGTTCCCACCTACAGTAGCAAAGAGCGGTCGGTGATCCGCTCCATACTGTAATTCTAAGTTAAAGCCAGCTCCACAAATTAGTACCTGGAGGCAAGCACTAAGTTGGGTCCCGGGTACCAAAGGGGGAGAGCGAGGGGGACCCGTACTCAAAAATTGACCAAAAACTCGGAAAGAAGAGAGAAAAGGAAGAAGTGAAAGGGTTACTGAAATCCCACCTTTCACCGGCTTCGTTGAAACTGGGCCTTCGGATGTCTGAGCGCTTCGTGTGCCACGCGGGTCTTTCCTAGCTGAGGTTGGGGCGCGAACACTGAATGAATAGTGAACGAATGACAGAACTAGGAATACCAAATCGGCTTGAAGTAGTCGCGGATAGCAACCGCCGGATAGCAACCGTAGACACACACCTCAAACTTGGGTAATTAAACCCTTTATTTACCATTAATCAACAACAACAAAACATGCGAGACAAAAATACGAGGCGTAAAGCAATTCTAGTCGAACTTTGAGTATCATAATGAGCACCAGTAAAAGGATAAACACTTCACGGTAAATATGAGGCACAATGACCTGAGTACACGAGAAGAAATAGCAAATAAACTCAACAAATAACATATGAACGCTACTGAGTACTAGGAAAACAGCAAATAGTTACAAAAGAGTGAACTGGAACCAATGAACCGAAAATATGGGCAAGTATGAGATGTAAACAATGAGAACAAAAGCATATGTGCCCGTATACCTCGGAGTTATACAAGACAAAGTGACAGCAAGGTATGAATCAACGGTCGGCGAAGAAATGACGGTTGAGAAGATCCGAAGTCGATCACTGTGCGCTGCCTAAAATACTTGGGTTTTGACGCGCGAATTGATTGACAGGGGTTGCTGAGGCCGGGGGTCAGATCCGGCCTCAGCACAAGCACAAGATTTTTTGGGAAAAATGGTAACGATCAAAAAGTGGGTAGTTACTTAAGGGACACCCTGCATAGGACCAAAGTGTGGATAACATTATTGCACTACTTAATTAGCTAAATAGTGGCACATAAACCCACAGCACTTTCATACGCTTTCTTCGCTGTATTCGATAAATTCGACGCACTTTCTACTGATAACTATGCGCCTTCTACGAAGTGTTACTAGAAGAAAATTCGCAACACTATAGGTTGTTCTATTCAGAAAAGGAAAGCGCAGTTTCCATGATCTCTCGCATTGAAACATGCTTTTAACTTGGCTGCTGTTATTCATGCCAGGCGGAGTTGAAGCACAACCCGTCCAGTATATCGCAGTCCAAGGGCGACTGGCCTGTGCGCGAAAGCCTTTACCAAACACAGAAGTGAAGCTGTTCCATAAGCGATTGATAGGTCAGCACCATTACTACTCCTTACATTTTGCACGGGCAAGTAATCTCAGTTGAGGTTCATGACACTACTATTCCAGGAAGTACCATTCTCGCGGTAGCAAAAACTGATAAGGATGGCAACTTTAAACTCGAAGGTGGAATACCTTCTAGATTTCCAATGGATGCTCATCTGAAGATAAATCACACTTGCAAAGAGAAATGGGTGGGTAAATAAGAGCCTTAACGGCAGTGTCTCAACAAAATTTCGCAGTTCAGTTTTTCACGTTTCCGTCGCGGGTGGGAGATTGTATGCCTCCGAAAGGGGGTGGTTCCCATGCGAGACATATGCGAAGGGTCCGCAGCTCCTATTACAAACGATACAAATTTTGTATCAGCTGTCCGCGTGATGTGGAGCCTATGGGCGACATATAGTTCCCTAACTCGTAGGCTTCTCGCATTGAGGAACCATGTCTGGACTTTTTAGCGCATGATAACGAAAACGCGCTTATTCAAAGCTTTCCAGGTCCGCATTCAGTGAATACGCCGGAAGTCTTCCCCCCCCCTCCACCCCCCTCCCTCGTTTCGGACCCCGCCCATTTACACGCATTTTCCACTAAATGCGGACCTGGGAAGTTTCAAGAAAAGTCCATTTTCGCCATCGCCACGTGCTAAAAAACCCAGATATGGGGTCCTTATGGCGAGAAGGATCGAAAAGGATGGAGAACGAAATTTTGTCGGGACACTGCCTTTGAAAATTTTTTATGGATCTAGGGATGCTAATGGTATGAAAATTGTGTACAAAAGAAATGCGCGAGCTTCTGAGCATGTTTGAAACAAGTATATGTTCTTCACACGCAGTTCTGCATTCTTATAGATATTATTTGCAGCCCTGTAGGCGAATAGTGGACATAAAGGTGCCTGCGCCATATGTTTACCGAGGATCAGGAAATCCAGAATGGCTCTCAGCTGGTACTCTTGACATGACCTTCAAATATCCAAATCAAAAGCGGATGTGCACTATTCGACAAGAGAACAATTGAAGACTTTTGAAATGAGCCTCATATAAGTAAACAATCTGCTTTCAATGGGTCCAATATATATATCGTTACTATTTTTATATTCTGCATGAAATAGAGCTCTACAGTTGTTTGCATCACACCCATTTCTCGTATCTCTTCGTTCCAAGGCTGGTTTTTGAAGCAGAACCCACTACCTTGGAAATTTTTCATAGTTTTTGGAAGCATATTTCTTTTAGTTTCTTATGATGCGTTAGGCTATGCACATCTTTGTTCTTTTTGAAGTTTCGAGCCTTCAAAAACAATAGAAATCTCAAAATTCTTTCCTTGCGCTGTCTTTGCCCTAAACCCACGAATAATCGTCGAATCCATTTCTGAAAATGTGCATAACTATTGTGGAGTTATTGTGGAGTGCTACAAAATGGTATAATAAAATTTTTTGAAGATATTGAACTGACAAGGGAGGTCCATTCATATGGCTGGCTTCAATTGGCTCAGTTGGCTTCCAAATTGATTCTTTGATTTTTCAATCATCGTGTGTGGGGTGTGGCCAGCCACACCCGTCCCTTCTATCAGAAGAAAAGTTGTGAGTGGGATCAGAGAACGGGCTGAGTACCCAAATTTCCAACTTATTTTCCTTCATCAGTTTCATTTGTGCTTGGTTCTATTCATTGATCGTATTTATAAAGGTCTTATAAACAAGATGAAGATTATCAAGATAAATAAAGATGCGAGTAATGCTTGGTAGCAATCAAAAAGGTTTTTTGAATGACAGTATTTGTTGACTTGAGTCAAAGTTTGTTGAAGTGGAAAAAGAAATAGAGATGGACACTTTGTTTTACAAAAACACACAGAAGAGCAATAAACGAATTATATTTTTGAAATCATTTTCAAAGAATTATTAGGTTGTCCCGAAAGTATTGTCCGTTTATTTCATCGCTCACCAAAACTCAAAGAACACCAATCCATGGACGACTTAGGTAGGATTTGGTTCAGATTTTTATACTCTTTCTTACAGCTATACTTGCTTTCTGATCTACCTTGTCTTTGCAGTGTTATCGCCATGGCTTTTTGAGCTGCCCAGCAGTAACGCCAAATGTTTCTTGAATTCTAAAAAGTTTTATCTTGACGTTTTCAAAGAGCACTGATGACTGTTACGTAGAGTAAACCTTTGGCTACATTTTACACATTTTAGATTACATGGCCACGTTTATCAAGTCCGTTATAATTATATAATTGATGAAAACCGCGGCTTTTTGATTACGTTTACCACGTAAAAGTACCGAAAATTCTAAAAAGCTGCTTTTTCAAAGCAAATTAAACTTGGTTATGTGGCATAAATAATGTTTAATAAGAATAATGTCAATTCGCAGAAACTTCAAAATCTTCCATGTTTTTGCTGCAGTTGCGTGTTTCATGACTTTGCCAAAAATCGAAATCTCCGAAAAAACTATTGTTTGAAGCTAAAAACAGCAAACTGGAAGAATCTAAAAGTATAATTTTGTAGTCCGAGAATTGCTCTATTTAATACATACTTAACCTTTATCGAAACATTGGATGGAAATCTTCAAAAATTAGCCTTTAAGCAGATAAAGTTGACGGGTGGAGAATTCTGGCAATCATCAAAAAAGCATACAAGATTTCATTTCTATATTGTTCATTTAAGAAAAAGAAGCAAAAGCTGCATCGAATGCATGTCGAAACTCGTTCAGGTCCTTAATGTGCGTGGTTTATAGTGGTTTGATAAAACGGGCAAAACTTTCGGGACAACCTAATATATGCTTGGACCTCAGAAACCATATGGTGATACTAAGAACGCTTACGCCTACACAAATGATTTGCGTTACGATTTGGCCGAATTGGATTTTTATCTTCTGATTTTTGCCACTTCAATCTCCGAACATAGTTTCTCTAACTCATTGAAATGGTGGGCTTCTTCTTGATTTTTAAATCCATAGATGGGCCTCACTCAAGTAAGCTAGCATAGCTTCAGTTTTCGAGTTGCCTTCGTCATCCAGGTGCAAAGCAGTCTTAAATCCAGTGACGTATTATCATCGCAATACTTGGTGCTATTCGATTATTTGGCTGCTTGCCATACGCCGACCTTGTTTTTAGAGTTTTCCGAGTCTCGTGAATCGCCTTTTTGGATCGATCGCAGACCAACTATGGCAACTACCGGTTACTTGTACTTTCGACTGCTTTCTGTCACCGATCTCACGGTTCCCTCGCTCTCAAACAACACACAGCTCATTTGTTTGAGGTGCAACGATCAAATGCTAAGAATGACTGCTCCGTTTTGTGCGATATATTTGTTTTCATCCAAACCTTACGATATAAACCGTGACCTGGACGCCTATTTTCGCATAAATAATGTTTACTTATTTCTCTTCGTCTAAAATTTTTTGGACCAATATTTATTCGGTATGCCATACTCTGAAAACCTGGTTTCTTGTAAGTTTCCGTGGTTAACTCATATAACCGATTAACTCTCATTATGGTGGATATGAAGTTTAGCAGTGAACATCACTCGTTTCATCGCTAAACAACGTAGTTGGAGGGTTGCAATTTTATTTGCTTTGCAGCTTGACTTTGGGAGTGATAGAGCTTTCTGATGCTGAGGCTTTTGAGCTGAATCCACTCCATAATAGCTGAAAAAATCAATCTAATCGAATCTTGAGAACTTTCATGAATATTTGACCATGATTACGACCTTTTTTCGAAAATCCTGTTTTGAATTTTCCCTGTTTCGTATCGACTGATCATGCATGTCAGCTCGAAAAAAAGTATCATCAATGACAATACAGTTGTGAGTCCAGAGGAGCTGATGAAAATGAATCGTTTAAAATGTTGTCCACATTGCGCAAGAATTTTGATTTTCCAGACGCATCGATAATCTGGAGTTGACCTTTGAAGTACACTCACTAGTAAATATACATATATCATTTCGAATATGACTCATTTCCTAAGTTTTATCTGTCACGCAAATCTGGTGTTTTTTTGCCGTGATCCTTACGCAGTGCGTCACTTGAGCATTTCTGTAAATTAACGGCGCTCTGTTCCTCCATACTTTCAGTGATATCAACTCCGTTCATTGATGAGTTTTTCAAACAACAGTATAGTAACTCTATCAAGCATACTAGCCTAATACTGTAAATGTTATGCTGTACCGGTCTGGAAATTTCATGCTATGCGTAAAAAATGGCCTGCTTGATTCTCCCTGATTTGTTTTTTTTCTTACTATTGTTTGTTGAAAAGACAAGGAACTCACTTCTTTACCACATCACTTCGTATCACAAAGAGCGCTCCAATCAAATTTACAGGAGCTGCAAAGTAAGGACCCTGGTTTTACTGTTGTGGTGCTTGTAGCTGTAGATTGCCAATTAGGCAAACCGAATGCATATGATATAAAGACAAGTTGGCTTGTGCAAAATTTTGCGACATCCCTTTTGACCCTTTTCGGAAACTTCGACTATAAAAACCCAACTCAGCTTGTGTTTTTTCGGGCCCACAAAAACGATATCCCCTTTGCTTTTTCGCCCCGAAAACGATATCCAGCCTGCTTCCAAACAATCCGTGCCGGCACCTGCTAGCACTTCCTGGATCAAATCTTGACCATGAAAGACCAAAGTTTCGGACCGTTACCTTTTTGTCGGATATTCAACCACTTGTTTTCTTCATCTCCATCATGCTGAGTCCTCCATCAATCATCTTCAACGTATCTATTAGGTTGTAGGCGAAGTTCCCTGTCAGTTTTGGAGAATCGATTCTCTGACTCAATTTTCTCGCTAGTTCGAATATTATTGACAAGTTTGCTGTTTTATGGAAGAAAACCCGAAATTTTTTGATGACAACATAGCTCACACTTCAGAAAAATAAGGTGCCTACTGATAAAAACCTTAAAATTTCACTTTTCCTGCCAATCTCTACGGAAAAGAAAGCTTTAATTATTGGATCTTGAACGGCTTGTCGACATCAGTATTTGCTACACGTACGCGAAAATTAGAAGCTGTTAAGCTAACCCTGATTACGCGTTGTTGATGGGTCCAGAAGTTTTGTAAGATTACTCACAATATATGTAACAATCATAAATTTAGCTCACTTTATGTAGAATGGAAAAATTACAAAGCCTTTTCATTTGAAAATGGAGCATTTTTATGGGTGTTTATGCAGTTAGCACCTGCGTAATTTGCCCAAATAACAGCTCTGTAAATGCCTGAATAAATACTGCCAAAGCGTCAGCAATTACGTCAGCACTGTCTTTATGTATTCTGCACAAGCAGTCAGTTTTGAAGTCAAATTTTTTCCTTTTTTCTAGCTAAGGTATGCAACGAGGTGCCGAAGCCAGTGAGATAAGCATATTTTGGAGACAACGCTGCTTTTGCCAAAACCTGTGTTTCCAAAAAGGATAAACTCGTTACAGCAGTTGGAGGGAACGTTTGGCTAGTGCCCGCGAGATTTCTTTACAACCTAATAGTCGATGTAATATTTTAGTATGACTTTGTTAGATCCAAAAAACTAAAGAATTCAAGGAAGGATAAAGAATATTTTGCGTCTTTGATGTTCTATGCCTTCAAAACTCCCTTGTAGACTTGTAAACTTTTTTTATAACCTATTATTAGAGTGCCTCATAATTTTTTTACCGTTTTTACCCCAAACATCAGCAATTTTCGGAACTGGGGCAGTTACCAAGGGACAAATGTGTGACCGTACCTTTGTATGTATGAGATGTATGATCACGTGCGTGAAAGGAGCTCAGGACGTTAAGGGGAGGAATTTGCCATTTTAATCAATTCATTTTTTCTTTGTTTCTAGCCAAGAAAAAAGATGCGAAAAGGAATACTCGAGCTTTGCTTTGTCGTGAATGACATTCAAACCACATCAATTAGAGGAAAGGTACAAAAAGACCACGTTATAGTGTAAACGGTAGAAAATAGTGAGAATCCTTGTACATCTCGGCCGTGCTCATCCCTCACTTCCTTCTTTGCAAGTAATAAGCGAACCAAGAACTGCCATCATTTTTGAGG